TTTGGAGCACAAGTTCTTAATTTTTTTCCCCAGCTTTAGTTCTGTGGTCACATTTCCCAGATTTGGGCAAAAAGAAGAGCTGATAGGATGTGGTTAAAGTACTGGAGAGATTTTAAAAAGGCCCAGGCACCAGTGAGTGATTTTGGAGGGGGAGCGCTGTTCCCTGGGGCTGGAGCTTGCTCTCTTTGGGGCTGTGCTAGGGGAAGGAGGTACGGGGCTGTGGGGCTGTGTTTGCAGCAGGTGGGTAAGCTTGGTGTTACTGTTGCTGGGGCTGCTCAGCTGTGAGCTCTTTGGCCTGAGAGGAAAGGGTATTTGCAGAATGGGAAGGTGGTGGACCCGCTCCTGTTTGCCAGGCTGGTGTTTGCACCAGGAGCTCCATGCCTGGCTGGTCTCGGGGCTGGGGATTCCTGTGAAGGCTTTTATCTGATGAGGTGCTTCAGGACAACCTGCTGGCCTACGAAAACAGACTGAGCCCTATGTCCTCATTGGCTGCTCCAAAGTGGGTGGAAAATTTTCTTTGGGATGGCTTTTCCTCCTGGAGGCTTAGCATCCTCCAGGCTGTGCCACGATGCAGTGCTCCCCTGGCGTTTCTCCTCCATCTTCTCCCTCCTTAGCAGCAGCATCTAAGTGCAACAGAGTCCAGCCAGCCTGGGGTGATCTGGAGACACTGGTGGCTCTGCATCATGAAGGAGCAGGTCCACTTTGCTGTCTTGGTGCCTCTCCTGATCCATGGGTGTCTGTAGGACAATGAAAACTCATTTCCTAAGAGCCAGCCCTTGGTGCCACAAGGAAGGATGGGCACATCTATCCTTCAACTTCATCTACAGAGCCTCCCTGGCCTGAAAACAAGCCACACAGCAACCAGCCACGCTTCTCTGCGGAGATTGCTGTGCCTTGCAAATGGCAGCTCCGTACAAAACGTCTGCTCAAGCACCCATGAGATCCTATCACCTTTTGGTCATCCCAGCTTTCAACAGGGCCCCTGCTGTTACTGCCAGTGTTTGTTTTTTGGGTGCCACCAGTGTGCCCAGCAGTCCAAAAACCACAGGAAGAGATTTAGTACCTCAATCCCCCCCCAGCATAGCTTACCATGGGAGCAAACTGAACTTTCTCATCAGATCTAGCTCTATGGGTCATGAAATGACCAGCCAGCAGTTGCCCATGTTTTGTGCACAGGATATTCCCAGGGCTTGCTGTTTCGCCGGTGGAAGGTTTGCTCTGCAATTTAAAAGCTATTGTAGTCTGGAGCCCGTTTCCGAGGTACTTCCCCTCTGGGATCTCTGCTGGGTTTGGCTACTGACCAATGCTCTGAACGTTTGGGGCCAGGGCCTGGGCAGAGCTGAGCTGGGCTGCGAGCCCTGTCCCTGAACCACTTTACCATAAATCCTGCAGAGGAGAGGAGCCCAGGGAAAGGAGTGGAAGTGCATCCCCCTGGTCTGTTTGGGGAACATCCACCTGAGGACCTGACCGCCCCCTGGAAGCATGTCTGCTGGCACGGTCAGGGGTGGCAGTGGTGAGATGACAACAGCCCCCGGGCTAGCCTGGTCCCTGAGTTCAAGGGGTTGGAGGTGTCAGGCTGAGTCTGGCTCATTGTTATTATAATATCTTAGCTTTGCAGTGTTGTGTAGAGCCACACTTGTGTACCAGATGCTCTTGTGGGGGGTCCTGCACAGAGGGGCACGTCTGCAGCGTGGGGTCTTGGTGTGTAGAGTCTGGGAGCCCCTTGTGCGATGTGGTGCTGTTCTCTGGGAGCTCTTCGGCTGATCTGTGTGCTACAGAGCCAACAGTCCCTTTTTGGTTGGTGTCTGCTGGGGTAACCAGGAGCTCTGCTTGGCCAGACTCCTTGCCTGTCACCTCCCCATGCTCCTGGATGCAGTGGGGCTGGGTCTCAGCCTGGGGGAGCATCCACAGGGGTTAGCTTTGTGCTTGGAGCAAAAGGAACCTTTTCCTGTAGATAATCTCTAGCTCTAACAGGGCCTGTTTGGGGCTTGTGTTGGCTAGGCTGGGTCCTCCTCTGGGATGCATGCCCCGTGTTTTCCTCCTGCTCTCCCACAGGCAGCTCTGGCACGGGGTCTTGTGCTGGCGCAGGGTCTGGCACTGCCCTGGAGCCCTGGGCTCACCGGAGGCTCCCATGCCCGTCGGCACGCAACACCTGCAATAACATGTTTTTCAAAACGCCGGGCTGAAGGCAGTCGGAAAGCGACTGGCAGCCACTTCAGTCGCTCGCTTTATCTGGTCGCAGACGCCCCCTTCACGCCATCTGCATCCTCCTTTCCCAGCACTGTGAGATTAAACCCTGTTTTCTCTTTGTAAATATTGGCAGGCAAAGCAGCAGCCTCCCTGAATGAAAACAATAGTGGGGAGGCCGGTTCCCAGAGCGAGCCCTGAGCGAGGCAGCGTCCCGGTGTTAGCCGATCCCCCTGCTCCAGCCTCCCCGGTGTGCGGGAGGGCTGAGCTGCGCAGCTCAGTCCTCTAGCAGGGGCTGGGCTCCAGGACACGTCCCACCAGTAGAGCTTCATCCCATTGACCCACCAGCCCTTCACATGTCTGCCTTCCACCTGGCTGGATCCCAAGGGGCTTTGCAAGCGGGAGTCTGGGCTTTAGAGGCAGTGGGGAGTGCTCAGCACCTGCGGGTTGGGCTGTCTCTTTCCCCGACACAGTTAAACGTTATTGGGAGGGAGCAGGTTGATGGAAGAGGGAGAAACAGAACTCTTCCCTTGGGAAGTGTGAGTTGGAGAGGTTAAATATCACTGTGAAGGAGTAAAGTGCTGAGATGTGACTGCTCTAGCACAGAAATGGTAGTAAAATACGTACAGATTGGATAAAAGCAATTTTGGCTGTTCATGTCCTCCCTCAGCCTTGCCCACAACACACGTTGGGGCAGTGTACTTTCTCCTCCAACTTTTGGACCAGAAGGCAGTCTCCTCTCCTGGCTTTAATATTCCCAGGTGGCTGGGACTGGGCCGTCTCTCTGGTTCACTGAGGCTGAGCAGGAGGGAGAGGGGCGCTTTGCTCTCAACAGCCAGTGTGGGCTGAGCATCACTTTATGCTAAATTCAATCAAAGAGATGGGGACTGTAATTGAATCAGCAAGGGGCTGCAGAGCAGGGGTAAGTGAGCGGTGCATCTGTCACGAGCAAGGGGATACGAGACGTCCTTGGAATTGCTTTAAGCCTCAAGCCAGGGGAATTGCAGAAGCTCGGTAGGGACAGGAGTGTGCAGTAGTTACAGCATCAGGGTGGGCACTGGGCTCCTCGGAGCTGCGCTGGTGTCTTTTAGGCTCTGCCAAGTCCTTTCTGTCATTCACTTCTGGCCCCAAGTGCAGGGTGTGGAAATTCCAGCCTGGATTTCCAGCCTGGCAGATTGGCACCCATCCTCTTCTCTGAAAACAGGAACAATTATGTGCCTTCCTAGGGATGAGTGGATATCACAGTAGTACAGCCTGGTGATCTGCTGGCATGGGACTGGGAGAGACTGAGACATCTGGGATGGGAAAGAGCACTGTGATGCTCCAGGGGATGCATCCAGGCTCTGGGAGGCAAGAGGGAGCCCCACCACCTTGTGCCCCTGAATCACAAACCTCTATTCCATTTTGATAGTGCTCAGTAAGCCTGAGCACCTTCAATGTTTAAGCCTGTTTCTGCTGTAGAAATAGATGTGGTGATATCCAGACATGAGAAAGATCAAATCTTCCTGGAAGTCTCCTTGGAGGGGCAAAGGACTGAACTAGATGCCTTTTCTTCTAGAGGTGACGTGGGAGGTTGATTTATTTACCACTTTAGCAGGGATTTTTGGATTAAACATGAATGAATTAGCATCCAATGAAAACAGTGTTTTAAATGGTGTGACTAAAAAGCATTTCCCCTTTTGACTGTGTTGTGTCTCTGGAGTCACAAAGCTGCAAGTTCCTTAGTTCTCTCTGACCTTTCTGGGAAAAACAGGTTGTCAGAGACCTGCCCTTCTGGAAGGAAATCCTAGGGGGAAATGAAAGGCCTTTTTCATGCCCTTAAGTGGAAGACTCTTTTTTTTCTTTCTTTGCAGTTCTGTCCTGAAGTTCTGCCTTTTTTTTTTTTTCCTTTCTTTTTTTTTTTCCCCTCCTCTCATCATATCTGGCCACAGAAGGAGGTGATCCAGCCATGGGCATTTCTGGACCCTTTTTAAAGTGAAACCTGCAAAATCCCAGTGGGCAGCAAATGTTACTAATGCTTAATTTTTAGCACAAAAGATGAGCAGTTTAAGGGCTGGGAGAAACTTGCCAAGAGAACTTGGTCAGAACGTTTCTTAAATGAGTGGGATTTGGCCCAAAGAAAACCTGTCCAAGAGGAACAGGTCCATAGCAAAAAGGGTGTGTGCAGGGAAGGGGCTAGGGCACGAGGGGAGGTGGGTTCAGCTGGGGTGAATTCCCATCATTTCTCTTAATTCCTTCCTCGCTGCACTTTGCTCACAGACAGTGTGTGACCAGAACTGGAGCATCGTCCTTGAAACAGCCCCTGATGCCTGCTCTAAGTAAGGAGCAGAACAGGCGAGGCTGGTCTGGAGCTTCTCCTGAGGTCTGCCTTCCTCCCAGCCCCACTCAGCCCGAGGCGCTTGTTTTCATCAGTTCATACTATGGCGCCTCATTAATGTTTGCGTACAGCAAAGAGCAATTTCCACCCTCTGAATTAGTTTAATAGACACGTTTCACTGTGGTGGCACAGCGTGCACAATTGCTGGTGCTCTGCCCGTGCCTTACCGCTCTGCTCCCGCTTATTAAAGCAAAAGTCTGCTGCTCTGCACCACACCAGCCTTTCACCCTCTCTCTGGAGGAGATGCCACTGTGAAGCTGATTTCCCATCTATTTTGCTTCCTCATGCCCCGAGCACAGGACGCTGGTGCGAGCTCTCCTGTTATACGTACATTCATCTGGTACAGTGTGTTGGAAGCAAGTAGTTTGCAAACAAAGCCGGGGCCTGCGACACACAGCTAATGACCTTCTCTCTGCCTGTGTTTCCTTTACGTCAGAAGTCGGAGTGCTTATTAAGTTTGGAGGCTTACTCCCAGGAGCAGAAGAAGAGGATCTGCTGGTGTCTGGCTGAGAACATCACCAAGCAGCAACATCCGGCATCAGCTCCTACGGAGAACAAGGTAAGAGACCCAGGCGGGAGCTGAGCACCCTGCTGGGAGCATCGCGGGGCTCTGCCTGTGCTGGGAGGTTTGCTCCAGTGACGCTCCTGCCCAGCGAGCTGCTCTGGAGGCTGGTTTTTTTTGCCAGGTGAGGAGCGAGTTTGTATTCAGGCACTGCTGCGTCTGCAGCTTTCTGCCCTGCTCGGGGAAGCAGATATTGGATTTGCATCTGCTGACCCGAGCCGAGGCTGCTGCTGCTGACGCCTCCCAGCATCTGTATTTGGACAGCTGAGGCCGGGCAACCTGGTGTATGGCCTTCCCCGAGAGCTCGGCTCTAGGGCAGGACTGAATGCAGAGGGGGAGGTTTGGGCCGTGATCTCTGGGTCCCGATTAAAGGCGGAGGTCATGGGAGTAGTGGTGCAGAGGTTTACCCCTTCTGTACACTCAGACGGGCTCGGGCGTTTGATCTGGACCCCGCAGATGGCCTCAAGGCACAGAAAGGTCGTTTGAGGAGTGCTGTTTTTCGTACCTAGCAAGGCAGCACCAGCACTTTTACCACGAAGAGAGCTTCAGCCTGGCCTGAGAGCATTGCCTCAGCAGTGCTGGCAAGAGAAATGCGTGTGTGGAGCGGGTTTGAAGCACTGTTGGGCACTGTAGTTAACACCTCCTGTCTGCCTGGCTTTGGGGCTGGGGCTGCCACCATGTCGTCTGGGATAGTGGTAATCTCTGCTGGGGTCATCTCATACCCTGGCGATTGGGTTGGACTGTTGGTGGGTGACCCACTGCTCTGGGAGAAGAGAAACACACTGTGCTGAGTGTTTAGAGTGCTTTAAGTGAGGCAGGTGGGGATCATGGGGGTAAAACCACCTTGGCTGGTGTGCGGTGGTGGAGCAGCTCCCGCCCCACAATCGACTTGTGGGTGCGTGGCCCGGTCTGGCTCAAAGGCAGGTGACTCGCTCTCACCGTATCCGTGGGCAAAAGCAGGAGCAGGCGGCTGTGCTGCCGCCTGGATCCAGAGGCAGAACGACGTGGCTTTTGCTCTGCAGCATCCCAAACTGGGTCAGCGCAAACATCTCCGCAGGAGACAGAGCCTCCGGATTCCTTCTCCTGCACGTTTCAGACGTACTAAAATAGCAACAACATACAAAGCCTGAGAACCTAGCTACCAACCAAGCCTCCAGAAGTGCAAATAGCCCAGGGCAGCTGATTCAATAGGGTGACGAGACTCTGCCACGTCTCTCGTTTTCCTGTGATGTGACCCAGCGCCTGGGCAGAGGGTCCCGGGTGTCTCAGCATGGGGGGATGCGTGTGATGGGGCAGCTGTGGGGGGCTTGGCATGGCTTTGCTCTCCACTGGATGCAATCCAGCCACAGGTTGGGGGATCCTCCAGGGCGAAGCTGTGCAGGGACATGTTCAAATCTGCGCGTCTCAAATAGATCCCAGGCGGGGGGATGTTGGCGGCTTTCCATCACGTGTGCTCTGGGACCATTTGGGTTTTGGGGTGATGTTGCTGTTTGCCCTCCCCACCCCACGCTCTCTTCTTGGCAGACTGTGGGATTTTGGCCCTCTGCTAGACTGGCTCAGAGCAAAGCCCTGGAGAGTGTCTGCTCCCCATGTTATGGAAGGAGCCTGGCTACTGAATAGGTGAAAAATAGAAGAGAACACAAACCTTTCTAAGGCTTTTCTGTGCCTCAGTAGCCAAAAGGGTGCTCCTTGAGTGCAATGGAGAGCCAGGTGGGACCTCCAAGGTTGTGACAAGGGGGTTTGTCTCTGCTTGCCAAAGCTGGTGGAAATCCAGCTGGTGGGATACGGGGCCAGGAGGGAGAAAAGGAGCATGAGAGCAACCACCAGGCACTTTATTGAGTTCATAGCACCATTTTCCATCCCAGCAAGACATAAACTGCCTAGGATGCAATTTTAAAGCAGACCTGATCCTGAAATGCAAGAAAGAACAGCATGGGGAAGGAAGAGCAGCCCTGTGTGAGGCTGCAGCTCCCAAGTGGGCAGACAAGGATGCTGGTGTGCAAGCTCAGAGCAGGGTGGGTGGCTGCACACGGGGCCAGGCTGTGGACAGAAGCCCGACGTGGGTGACCTGCAGTTGGGGCTGCTGTGACCAGTCTACACCGCAGCTGGTTTGTTGGGTCAGATGTTTCCTGGGATGCTGGTGCAGCGGGAGGCAGGAGCTGGGAAAATCAGTCGCTTTTTGCAGGGGAGAAGCGATCCGTTAGCTTTGCTTGTTGCTTACAAGTCATTTGATACTAGGGCTATTTAAGGAAACAGAACAGTGTCTGCGCTCTGCGAACAGACCGATTAAGCTGGAACTATCAGCCCTGGCATGGCTGATTTCTGCTCCAAACAGGAATCTGGTTTGCAAAAGTTGGCAAGAGGCAGCTCATCTCGCTGTGGCCAGAGCCCGGCCAAGGGTACGTGGGCTTTGCTGTGCGACGGGAGCGAAGGGCCGGCACAGCCTCGGTGCCAGGCAGAGATGCGCCATGTGCCAGCTGTGCGCTGGAGCCAGAGAAAAGGGCACTGTCTGAGCAGAGAGCAGCTCCTCAGCAGCCTCTGCGGCTGCTGCACCAGTGTGCGAGCTGGGAACGGCTGCCCCTTAACGCTGCTGTTAATGCTGTCGCTCAGTTCTTCCCAGAACAGAGTTGCACTGGGGCAGAGGGTCCCCAGCAGGACGGGCACATCTGGAGAGGAGGGGCTGGACTGGCCGTACTGATGGAGGACAGTTGCATGGTGCCAGCTTCTTAGAGCTGGGGGGAATCAGGCAAATCATGGGCTTTGGGATGGCACCTCTTGTTTTTCAAGGCCTGCTGAGCTGTGCCTTTGGCAGGGCAGCACTAAGGGCAGGAAGGTCCTTCTGGCTCGGAGACATGGCTCTGCAGAGCTGTCGTTGCCTCTGGCAACTTCTTCCAGGAGGATGGTGTCAAGCCTGGAGGATGCACCCTGTATGGGGCCCGTGTTGGCATGACTGCTACCTTCAGAGCAGCTGTTTTTAGAGCAAAGCTGCTGGTTTCTGGGAGACACAAGCATATGGTGCATGTAGCATCCACTTCTGCAGATGTGTCCCCATGAGGGATACAGCTGTAATGGTCCAGCTATGGTGCCAGTGAGACAGAGTCAGTGCAGGAGGAGCTCTGGGGATAACTGTGGCTGTTGACACGTGTGGTCCAGCTTTCTAGCCCTGGTGTCCAGGAGAATGGTGGAAGTGGGGCTCCAGTGGCTTCTCTGCTGCTACTGTAAGACTAGGCTGAACTTCACTGAGTGATGAACCCATCTCGTTGGCTGCAGCAGGTCACAGGAGTTGTTCTGTGGATGTTTTCTCCATCTGCAGATCCTGCCTCTCACTCTCGTCTTCCGGTCTGGGTCTGGGTCTGCCCTGGAAGGCTGCTCCCTGCCCCTTGACTGTGCTGAGCAAGGATCTGTAAAACACATCACCAGGGTGACCCAGCTTGGTGACAAATGTTCCCAAACGGGGAGGCGTGGAGCCTGGAGGTGGGATGGGGTTGGTGAGGAACCACAGCGGCGGCAATGTGATTATAGCGAGAGCAGCTTTATGAATTAATCGAGTTAGTGAGGCTGCCTCCTTGGGCCGAATAACGACCATCTGCACAGAGCACGGTGCTTTTGTTTAACATTGCATCGCTGCACTGGACCTGTTTCCAGCCTGGCCCCGCGACGAATTGCATTAGCACAATTGAAGAGATGGCAAACTGCAGAGCAGGGGCAAGGACAAGGCGCCAGGGGCTGGAGCTGCTCCAGCTGGTTTGGCTGCCAGGGAAAAGATTAGCGGCACAGCACCCTGCTTGTAACAAACCTGCTACAACCATCTGATTCTTACTGCTTGTTTCTTTGTGTCTTCCACACTCAGAACGGCTGATTACTCTTCCTTCTGACTCCGTGACCTGAGATTACCTCGGAGATGATGGCTGGCTGTATCTGAAAGATGTAGATTATCCTTAAGCTAAATAATTATGGACACTTGGTGGTGTGGACTTTGGGCCGTGGGAGCCCAGGACGGGCGCTGCCCTTGTTTCCCGTGGGAGGTGGTGGAGCCTCAGCACTTTTCAAAGCTCGGCTGCGCCCGTGGCTGCAGACGGTGTGAGCAGGCATGGACCAATCCTGCTCCCTGGCCCTTCCTGGCAGTGCTGGCTCCGGTGCTGGGAATGAGCCGACGGTGGCTGCGTGGCCGGCAGGGACCGGCCGGCCCCTTCCTGGCCGTTCCTCTGGTCAGGAAGGGCAGGGCCGTTTCTCTCACTATTTACAGCGTGCTTGACAAGTGCAAGTAAATATGCTGTCAACAAGAGCAAACAGCGTGTAATCGAGGGATGATTGAAACCAGGGCCGGAGCGGTGGTGCGGGGAGGGCTCTGCGGAGGGCTGCCACGGCAGAGCTGCAGGCAGCATGGGGAGGGCTGAGTGTGGGTGACCCCTCTCCCGTCCTTTGCGCTGCCTCCTCTTCCTCGCCCCGAGCACCCTGGTGTGCCCCAGGCACCCACCCTGCTGTGCAGCCCTGTCCCTCTGCAGTCCCTGCTCCCCAACACCTTGCTGCCTTCAGCGCCACCCTCTCTCTTTACACTGGGTCATCTCCCGTTTGGATGGTGACCATGTACACCCTTGAGCTGGCACAGCCAAGGGGCCACTGGCATTGGGGTGACAACGACAAGCACTTGGGTTGGGGATGAGTGGGGTGAACCCATGTCTCTCTGATCCAGCATTCACAGGGTGCTTCGCTCAGCGAGACTAGTCAGAGTGTGTTTGGCTGTTTGATGAAGGAGGAGGAGAGGAATTTGCACCTTCTTGCTTTGTTTCTGGCCCAAAGTTCTTCCCTTTTGGGCTGGGTACTTGCTGCCCTGTCCATGCCAGCTCTGCTCTAGAGGGTCCTGCTCACCTGCAGATGGGGCAGGGCATGGCCAAGGGTGCAGGAAACGTGGAGCTTCATCAGAGCCTGCTTTTCTTCCATGATGCCAACGTGAGAGGCTGGGCAGGGCTAAGCACATCACAAGAGCACCCGGAGGG